TATCCAATGAACATGACAAAATTTTGCCTCGAATATCCCGCATTCATATTATGTAAAATAAGGATTTTACTATAAAAAGCTATATTAGGCCTGAGTTACTATAATCAGAACATACACATGGTATGTAAATGTGTCCTGATATGATTCATTATTATTAGTACATTCTGTTATACAGTTATAGTATGATAGTACTTTAACATTAACTCATATCTTGCAGGCTATTGAAATAGGAAATGGAAAATGGCATGGTTCAATTAGTGGCATAATTTGTGCACCTATTGACAAAGTTTGGACTATAGTCTCTCAAACTAAGAATCTTCCACAATGGCTGCCAATGGTGGAAAGATGCACCACCTTAGCTGGAGATGAAGATGAACCAGGGTATGTTAGGCTAGTTTCCGGTTTCATGTTTCCTCAACAAGATGGAGAAAGGTCATGGATCAAAGAGAGGTTGGTTTCAAAGGAGTCTTCATCGTATAGCTATGTTTATAGAATGGAAGCAAGTAATGTTGGTTTGGATGGTTCTGTAAATTCACTAAAACTAGTTGATTATGGAGATGAATCAACTCTTATTCAATGGTCTTTTGAGATTAATCCTCTTGAAGATGTATCAGAGAACAACTTAGTGGATTATCTAGGATTTCTCTATAAATCTTGCATTAATAAGATTGAAGGTGCTGTAGAAGCTGCATCAAGAAATGTGTCACCACCATAGTGAACATCATTTTATTCAAACCACAAGCTTCTTTGCAATTCATGCACTATCAGTTGAAAATCAAATCCTAAACATCATTCTACATCTCTATACCAAGTTCAAAAAATGGAAAATCAAATAGCAAAAATATTACTAGTTCCTAGCTAGTTGCTTTGAGTCAGACATTACTTCCACAACACAAAACAATATTCCTCATTTTATCGAACAGTTTGCGTGCAAGATACAAAACAAGATTCCCGGCAACACAGACAAATCGAACAGAAGAAATGTATGAATGGCAAGGATTTTGAAACATACCTTTTGATACGACTCTAGACGAAAAAAGCTTCGTGCCGGCGAGGATGAGGAATCAGAACAAAAACGAGAATAGCTTCGTGCCGGCGAGAATAGTCTTTTTTGTCTCTTTTCAAGCAAACTGTCAAACAAGTGACTTGCACAAGACTTTAGTCCTTAAATTTCCTCCAAAATGGGATAAACTTCAACCATTAGCAACACTAACATCCATTTTTTTGCATAGAATGTATGATTTTGGCCTAAGAAACAAATTATTTTTTGCTCAATCCACTATGGAATCAAAGAAATTGTGCCACCATGTATCAGAAGATAGATTTAAAAAAACCAATACATTCACATTCAACAGACTCACTCACATCAATCAACTCAATTCACAGGATCATTCACAATCACACATGGACTAACCTCTTTTTCAAGTTTCACAGTATCTTGACCCAATTCAAAGCTAGTAAAAAAAAAAAACACCAAAAAAACTTATCAACTTCAATAGTCAATATTCAGCATTCAACAAGTAAGCATTGAAAAACTGAAGAAATTGTTTGAACAAAGCATAATTAAAGAGGAATTAGCATCTGGGTAGTGAAGAATTGATGATACCTGATGATGATAACTGAGATTGATGCAAAGCGTTTCACTTCTAAGATACCGGAAATGGTGGCATAGCTAGAGGAAGACAGGGGAAGCTCGTTGTAGGTGTACTGGAAGGAGTTGATGGAGCGGAATTGTGGTTGGAAAGGGTGTAGACGGTGGGGGTGACCAACGGAGGCTGAAAAGCTTAAGACGAACGGCGGCGACGGCAGAAATGAGGAAGCTTAAGACGAACGAAGAAATGAAGAAGATCTGAACGAAAGAAATGAAGAAGACTAAAGAACAGATTTAGGGATTTTTAATTTTATTATAAAAACAACCTACGAAAGCGCTTTTAAAAAGCGCTGGCATAGGGTTCCCTATAAGAGCGCTTCTGAGGTAAAAAGCGCTTTCGTAGGTCCCCCTTTCAAAGCGCTTTTCAAAAGCGCTGGCATAGGGTTCCCTATAAGAGCGCTTATCAAAAGCGCTTTCGTAGGTTAGATATTTCAAATACCTATGAAAGCGCTTTTAAAAAAGCGCCTTCGTAGGTTTCCCTTTTTTTTAATTTTGTTTTTTGTGAAGGCTATGGCAGCGCTTTTTCAATAAGCGCTTTAGTAGAGGCGCTGCAAAAAGTAGTTTTTGGCGTAGTGATACTACAACGGTCCTGAGACCGTGATTGTTAGTAACGTATTTACAACAACACTCTACACAATAATGCATTGACCTACGTGATTTTATGTATGTTCCAACCGTTGTTAAATGGGTTTTTTGTAGTAGTGAATCACTGCACCTACTGCAACAATCTTCAACATCACTGCATCTTCATCAATTCCTCAATATGCATCCGTTTTCATTAAATTGTTCTTGGATTATAAACCTTGAACGATGAAGTATGATGAAGTTTCTTTGAATTGTTTTTAATAAAGATGTTTTGAGACTATGATTCTGCTACGATAATTTGAATCTAATATTGATGATATTAAAGAAATAGTTGTTCTAAATGTATTGAAAACTCGTGTTACGGAGTAGGATGTTTTTATATGATGCTTTTATGAATATGTGATATCCTTATTGGTGTTTTTATTTGATTTAATTTTCATAAAATATATGTGAAATATATGTGGATTTAGAAGGATGTTACATACTCTACTTATCAGAGAGGAAAATTGTAAAAATGTATGGACTATTAAAGCTATTTTAAGAGGTTTCCAGTTGGCTTCAGGATTGGGAGTAAATTTTCATGAAACCGGACTAATATGAGATAATACTAACCCATATTTTCTGTCAGCAACAACAACTTTTCTATCTTGCAGGATTGAAGACATAGATTTTACTTTTCTTGGAGTTCCAATTAGCGCAAACCCCATGAGAATCAATATGCGAACCCCCTTATAGAGAGATTAAAGTCTAGAATGGCCAATTGGAGAGGAATATTATTATCTATAGGAGGAAGAATTATTTTAATTAAGTCGGTTCTCAATAATTTGTCCATTTTTCTATTATCCCTCTATAATGCTCGAACAAGGATTTGGAAAGAAATTGAAAAAATTCACCATAAATTCATATAGGGAAATTTAGGAGGTAGTAGGAAAATCCACTGAGTAGGATGAAAACAAATGTGTAGACCTATCAACCAAGGTGGCCTAGGGGTGAGGATCATAAAGGAGTTCAACAAAGCTTTGCTTCTCAAATGAAAGATGGAGGATGATGGTGGAGAAAAGGACCGTTTGGATCGATGTTTTAAAGACCAGGTATGGGAATTTAACTAATCAAGCAGTATTATGAGTCATTAGAAGTAGTATCATAATGGAATCAACATGGTGGAAGGATACCTCTAGGATAGATAAAAGAAGAGATGGAATTGGTGAAGGATCTAAAATTCCTTTTTGGTCAGGTATCTGGAGCGAAAATAATAGTTTTCGTGTGTCTTTTCTTGATCTGCATCAAGCTAGTACCATGAAAGATGAATCCGTGCAGGGAATGGCTGAATGGGTTAATGATGTTTTGACTTTAGTTGTTAGTCCATCTAAAAATTTCTTTTAGAGAATGGTGTTTTTAAAAATTTAAATTTTAAAATTTAAATTATAGAGGGATTAAATGTATATATGGGATATTTAAGAGGATAAAAAACATGTTAACCCATAATAATATAAGCAATATTTAATAAAATTGTTCATAGTTTTACCTTCCAGTGTTACTTCACACTTGTATTAGTAGTTAAATTCATCTATTAGTAAATTTATATATTTAGCTTCTTTAGTCACAAACATATTTGTAAATTAATTTCTAATACATCGAACTGTAAATCTGTATACTTAAAATATAAAAGGACTTAATTTGTAAGTAAGATTTATCTTAGTTAAAGTTGTCAAGATCGAGATCTTACCAAAGATCGGGATAGAATAGCAAGATTGTAAAATATAAAAGTGTAGTTAAGATCGGAAGATCCTACACAATTATTTTTGTAAGATCGAATGGGGGTTACAAAATCGTAAAACATAATATCACAACAAAAATTATAAGATCATATTAAAATGAAAAGTAATACTATATATTTAGAGTATTTTTACATGATATATGTAATCGGACAAATGTATTCGTGAGAAAATGGCTCTTTTATATTCTTTTGACATTTATGATTGAGATTCTATTGAATATTTGTCAATGTTTAGACATTAAGGACGTATATGATCAATTACTAGAATTATCATAAGTCAAGTAATTAAAACAAACCGTGTAAAAGAGAAAACTTCACTTTAAAATGTGCAAATCCATCCCCATCAAACCGTATTTGTTGTGCCTCCGCATTTTATCATCCTTCTCACCTTTTAATGGTGGTGGTTGAAAAATGGCCAATCATAGTCGAAACTGGCAAAGATTGCACAAAATCAATGATTTTATAGGGATTTTTCACAATTTTACTACAACACACGATTCTACTTAACATCTGGATCGTTGAAGGTGAGTGAAATCATAAAATCTTAATATTTTAAAATCTAGACGGAGATCTTGATGACCATTATGTTAGTGTCAACATTTAGTGACATTACAATGGGTTGCCTAAAGAGACCATGCTTGTTCACATACTTCTCAATCATGCTTATTTTTCAGATGGGACAAAGAAAAATAATCAGATGGGACAAAGAAAAAACGGATTCACGTTTTCATTTGGCAGCATGCTTATTTTTCAAAGATGTCTGTTTCAAATATATGATAGACATGAAGAAAATAAGCTTAAACAGTCCAAAAATCAAGAAAAAATGCTGTCTACACCATTTGAAGAAGTTATGTGTCCTAAACGTGTTTTGGACATGAATTTCAAACTTAATATTCTGTATTCACAGTATCAGTAAAATCTATATAAATAGAGGCCTTAGCTTGTTGAAAGATAAACATTTCATATCACTTACCTCTTAACACAAAAATGGCTGCAGCATTCCGTTCATCTAAACACAACGAATGTTACGTGTTCGTGAAAGAAAAGTATGTGGTTTGTAATTATGCTCCCGGAGAGAAAAAGAAAGATATTATTCAGGGGCCCATGCATATTACTCATGGATTTCCAATGCTTGCTAGAACTGTATTTGCAAATGGAATACACTGTGCCTTTCACTCCAAAGACCACGAGGCATTCATCTTCCACGGAAATCAATGTGCCATACTCAAATACGCTCCTCGTCCCGCAGACACGAGATTACTATTAGGTCCAATTCCAATCTCTGCCATGTTTCCTTGTCTTAAGGGAACAGTTTTTGAAAATGGAATCAACGCTGCAATTCATCACTTGCATGACCAAGTTATTATATTCCATGGAGAAAAGATTGGCTATCTAAACTATACAACCAAGCATCTTAGTTGGGTGAAAAATCTGCTCTCCTATTTTAAATATTGGGATGGTACAGTTTTTGCAACTGGAATTGTTAGTGCTTTTAATTCTCACCATAACTATGAAGCTTATATTTTCAAAGGAAAACACTATGCACGTATCAATTATTGTCCAACCAATAAACATGGTGACCATTTTGTTAACAATTCAATAAGCAGAATTCAAAGTGAATGGCCTGCTCTTCATGGCATATTGGTCTAAGTTTGTGTGCTTCCATATCTATGTAATAAATGTTATTCTATGAGAGGATCCGGATCTAATGTCACGGAAAGAAGAAGGTGGTTTTTATTGGTTGATTGATCCAATCATTGAATAACAAATTCTATCTTAAATCATTTGTGTTGTATCTCATAAAAGCTTTATTTTCAATGCTTCCATTTGTGTCATATGTTTGATGTAAGCAGTAATCTATGTAAGGTCGACATCTATGTCAAAATAAATAATATAAGGCTTTGGATTTTGTGGTTTACTTTAGTTATGTCATATGAGTTTTATTTTATTTTATTTATATCTATATAATTAATTGTCATGAATAATTTTAAGCACGGCTTACACGTCTCAAAGTTAACCAAGACGCTAATGAAAAAAATTCATTGAAAAAAATGCCAATTATCTTCAAACCTAGGTTGGATGCATCAAAAATATTTTACCTCTCTTTCTCTTGATATTTCGTTTTCCCTAGTGGCCTTTTTGAGGTATTCAATGGTGCAATGAATGTGGTAAATTATTTAATTATTACTATCTAGCAAGGCATTGTAATTTTTTTAATTATTCAGAGTAAAATTGGCATTTAGTCTTGAAATCAGAATTTTATGGATTTAGCAATATCATTCAATGTAAACAAGTGATATTTACTTTGAAATATCTTAGCAGGGGGTGCTAAGTGACCTTCAATGTAAACAAGAGACCCGTAGCTTTTTCTCTTTTTTTTTTACCCAAATTCCAAAGGTTGATTCCCCTTCCCACTTAGGGGATCTCATATCCATTTATTTGGTTGGGTCCTTTTATAAGATCTTTTTCCAAGATCTTGGTTTCTAGGCTCTCTAGTGTCATGGATAAACTCATTTTTTCTAACCAATCACTCTTTCTTAAAGGTAGATTTTTGGTGGATGGGGTGGTTGTTGTGAATGAGCTTGTAGATCTTGTCAAAAGGGATAAGAAAGCTTGTCTCTTCTTCAAAGTTGATTTTGAGAAAGCCTATTACTCTATTAGTTGAATTTTTCTTGATTATATGCTCTCCAATTTTGAGTTTATTGATAAGTAGAGGAGTTTGATTAGAGCTTGTGTGTTTTCTGGTAATCTTGCGGTCTTTGTTAATGGTTTTCCGACCCAAGAGATTAATATTCAAAGGGGTTTAAAACAAGGTGACCCTCTTGCTCCTTTCCTTTTTCTCCTAGTTGCCGAAGGCTTGAGTGGCCCAATTTCTAAGGCTGTAGACTTTACACTTTCTTTCTGGTAGTAGAGTCGGATCCTCGGACTTGGTGATCCCCCATCTCCAGTATGTTGACGACATGATTATTCTACCCGATGCTACTATGGATAACCTCTTGATTTGAGCTTGCCTCAGGGCTTCAAGTGAATTTTGCAAAGAGTTCTCTTATCAGGGTGAATTCTGACCAAGACTTCCTAGATATTTCTTGTGAGTTTTTGCATTGTTAGAAGGAGTCACTTCCTTTTAATTATCTTGGGCTCCCAGTTTGAGCTAACCCTCGCCTAGCTATGATGTAGGACCCTCTGGTTAATATTATCTCTAGGAAGCTCCATTCGTGGAAGCATATGTAGGCTTCCCTAGGTGGGTGAGTTATCCTCCTTAATTATGTTCTTAATGTCATTTCTATCTTTTTCTTATCTTTTCTAAAGGTGTCTGTTAAGGTTTGGAAGAAGATAGTGAAGATTCAAAGAAAGTTCCTTTAGAGAGGAGTGACAAGGGTGTCTAAGATTGTATAGGTCAAGTGGTGGATGTGTGGAAGCCAAATAAGTTAGGGGACCTTGGTGTTCCTGACCTTCGGCTACTCAACTTGGGCCTCTGGAGCAATTGAAGGTGGCGCCTACTTTCGGAGGCGTCTGGTATTTGGTGTGATATCCTTATGGCCAGGTATGGTGCTGCCTATATAACTCTATTATGGGCAGGAGAGTCAACCGTCTTAGAATAACCTTGTCTTAGTGGAGAGGAGTTTCCCTTATGGGATCTAGAGTTGATGATTCAACTAACTGGTTCCAGAATGGACTCTCCCTAAAAGTTGGTTTTGGTCTTCTTACTTCCTTCTACGAGGATATCTGGGTGGGGGACTCCATCCTTCGCCCTAGATTGCCTCACCTTTTTCATATTTGTGATCAGATTTCTAATTCTGTTGGGGAGGTCAGTATATGGGAGAGGGATAGTTTGATCTAGGATCTCAAGTGAAGGAGGACTTTTCTTTTAGATTATGATTTAGGTCTTTTCCATAATCTCCAGCGTTTGATTAGAGGTTTCACCCTATCTGTTAGGAGTGATGAGTGGAGGTGGCATGACTCAAGTGATGGTGTTTATTCTGTGTGTTCTATGTACTCTTATATTCTGGCGCGAATTTCTTCCCCAGGTCGCCAGGTCTCTATTACCGAGTTAGTTGTTTTGGTCATTTGGTGTAGTTCGGTCCCCCTCTAAAGTTATAGTTTTCTCTTGGAAACTTCTTTAGGATCGTATTCCAACTAGAGTAAACTTACTTAAGAAGGGAATCCCCTTGGCCTCTGGGACTCTCTCTTGTCCTTTCTACTCGCTGCACCTTGAATCCTTATTCCATCTTTTTGGGACATGCAATGTTGCATCATCTGTTTGATATAGGATCTTCAGGTGGTTTAGGTGGGTTGTTGTTTTTCCTAGTGATGTTTTAACCCTTTTTCAGATGTTTCTCCCTTCACATGTGGGTTCTAGGTCTAAAGGGGAGATCATGATTATTTGGAAAGTCGTTGTTGGATCAATTTGTAGAACTCAGAATGACATAGTTTTTTTTGTGGATCTTCGATGACACCAAAAGATATGGAAGACATGAGCATATTTTTGTCTTGAAAATGGTATCTTGGTAAGTTCGTAGATAACTAATGTCGTTATGCAGCGTGGAAAAAGAACTATATCTTGTTTCTTAGCCAATGGAGGGGTGAGTGTCTTCGACTTCCATCAAGTGTGTTCTTATTTTTGTCTTTTGTGGTGTTGTTGCTCTTTTTCAAGTGTCCTTAGAGAGGAGAGATCTAGCTTTGCCTGATGTCCTCGGTTGGTTTTCTGGTTGTTTTTGAAAATATATTTTATTATGTTAAATGTTATATTCGAACAACAATTATTATAGCACTAGTAGTTTGTTCAATCACTGACTCTTTTTATATTCGATATTATTTTTTATGCATTTTTTTTTGTATCATTTGTTAATTTTTTGTGAATTGTTTTATGTGCATGTGAAATTTATATTTTAGTTTATGGATTAAATTATAATATTGAAACAATAATTAATTTGTAGAAAATGAAATAAAAATTGCACAAAGAGAGGTTGTTCCACGACTGTAAAAATGTCTTTCAAAAAAGAAATAGGGATCGTTTGAAATATTGCAATTTACACATGAGATGACTTACAACCATCACAATAAACTTTCATAATAAATATTATGGTTAAATATCTTTGTGAATCTCCTAAATATTTCATAATTCACTTTTAATCTTTCAAAATATTTTCTTTAAAGAATGGTTTTTCTAAAAAATTTCATCCACATTTTTGGTCCCTCCTACTAAAACAATCGCTAAAATCATCACTAATTTAGTCGTTAATTAGTAAACAGTCGCTAAAACCGTCGTTAATTTTGTCGTTAAGTTGCAGAAGGAACTGAAAGTGTCGATTAAAAAAATTTAAGAAGACCATTCTTTAAGTAAATATTTTGAGGGACTAAAAGTGAATTATGAGATATTTAGGATGACCATAAACTTATTTAACCCTAATGTTAAACCGTTGCAATTGTGTCCTACAAGCGTGTTTATAAATTTCACAAAACATTACAACGGTTTGCACTAAGGTTATTGAAACCGTTGCAATCATGCTCGTGGCAAATTGATTTGCAATAGTTGTCAGATCGTCGCTAGACAGTGAAAACCATCATAAAACATAAGTTTTTCCATTAAAAATCATGTCTATTGCAGATCTACTTGTTAAATAATTATACAAAATTCCGTATTATCAAAATTGTGGAAGAATAAATTAATGTGAAAGCACGCTAAATTTAATATAAAGTGTTTAATAACAATCACTTTCTAACAAAACCCATAACCTTAGAAAACCCATAACCCAATTACATACAAAGAAATATTTCTCATAAAACTCCCATTAGAATAAAGGATAAAAACATCTAAAAATAAAAATAAACTTATGATACAATCAATTTAATATAAAGAGAGGGAATATTAGTAACAACCTCCAACTCTTATCCTTATGAGTGACAACAACTTATTTCAACCAGAACCAACAATATCTTACATCCACTATAGAACGAAATATAAAGTGTTATAGTTTAATCGTTCCTTAAGATTATCGTAACTTTGCTTATTTCTATTTTCTATTTGTTTTCTTTTGTATCTCTTTCTTTTTCTCTTCTTTGACCAACAATATACCATGAAGAGCAGGCCATTCATTACGAATTCTGCGTATTTTATGGTTAACTAAATAGCCACCATTTTTATTGGTTGGGCAATAATTGATACGTGCATAGTATTTTCCATTGAAAATGTATGCTTCATACTTATTGTGAGAATTAAAAGCTGCAATTATTCCATTTGTAAAAACTGTACCATCCCAATAAGGAAAACAAGACAGCAGATTTTTCACCCAACTAAGATACTTAGCTTTATAGTTTAGATAGCCAATCTTATTTCCATTGAATATGATAACTTTTCCATGCAAGTGATGAATTGCAGCATTGATTCCATTTTCAAAAACTGTTCCCTTAAGACAAGGAAACATGCCAGAGATTGGAATCGGACCTAATAGTAATCTCGTGTCAGCCGGATCTGGAGCGTATTTTATCATGGCACATTGATTACCATGGAAGATGAATGCCTGGTTGTCTTTGATGTCAAAGGTGCAATCTATTCCTTTTTCAAATACAGTTTTTGCAAGCATTGGAAATCCATCACTAATATGAATTGGGCCATTAACATGTGTCTTTTTCTCTCCTGGAGCATAATCACAAACCACAAACTTTTCTTCCGAAAACACGTAACACTCATTGTGTTTAGATGAACGGAATGCAGCACAATATGGCATTTTCTTATCGGAGGACTGTGCTTTAAAAGATAAGTGATATGAATTATTTATGTAAGGCTCTACTATTTATATTGATGTTACTGATAATGATAATGTGAATACAAAATATTAAGTTTGAAATTAATGTCCAGAACACGTATAAGGTGTAGATAGCACTTGTTACTTTTTATGACCTTGCTTTTTGGACTGTTTAAGGCTTAATTTCTTCATGAATATCCTATATTTGAAAATTAAGAATGTTCTTTGTCCCACTATGTAACGGAGAAATTTCCGAAAATTAATCTTGTTCTTTGTCCCATTGGAGATTTTTATGTTATAATTCAAACATGTTTAGATATTTATATATGGATGACGCAATATAAAGATCCCGATGTTTGTGAACATAGCAATCACGACTATGAGCTTTTTAAACTACTTACTATTAAGTCATCAATATAATTAATTAAATCCAACTAAGATCTTTTATTATGTCTTCCTTCTAAAATCCTTTTATATACAAAAGTAACCAGAGGAAAGATACACAAAAGATCCAATAAAGGGTCTAACTAGAACAACGCAAAAATAAAAAATAAAAAAGGCCACAAAGAATGCCTAGTGTAGTTGATCAGTCGCTCCTATATCAGTTTCAGCGTCCTTTATTGGGTTCAATCGTCTATTTTCTGAATCACTCGCCCAACTTCCCATTCTTTTGTCTGTAATAAGCATTTGTCAATGGAGTGTATATTGGATCAACAATTAGTACCTAGGAAATCATGAGGTCTAACTATCTCTCATGAATTTTTTGACATCAACCACCCACTCCCATGATGTTTGCTCTAGTCTAGGGAGATTTGGCTCACTCGATTAAGGTCCTTGGAGGCTAAAAATAGATCAGCACCCTAGGACTAAAGGGATCAATCTCTAACACACGGAAAAACCACTCACACAAAGCTTCTCACATCATCATGTTGGTTAGCTCTAATCCCTAATAAACCTAAATTGGAGCCTACTATGGAACTTCCATAAAGCTGACTTGGGCCGCGCGCACACACGCACATAATCCTATCATGAATTGCTCTTATCATCTTCTCATGAGGATGCTCGAGCAAAGTTCCAAGAAGACCACTAAAACCATCATTGGAGTTTGTTGTACCCCAAAATTTACCCTCTCATTTTATCAAGACTTCTTGGATTCAAGATCAGATTAGGGTTTGCTCAGCTCAAGACTCTCCTTGCACTGATGGCTTGAAATTAGGGTTTGAGTTTGCACAGGGATTTTTGGACTTTCAATGCCTCATGAGACTTTCATACTTCATGTTGGGCCCCTAAGATTGCTCATACCAAGTTTTCAAGCCTTGAATCAAATTTTTGCCCAGTCAATTGGACAGTTGACATAAAAATCAGTTGTATAGGGGAAAAAGTCAACTGTGGCCAATTTACAGTCAAACCTCATAATTTTTTATCCACATCAACATTATAGACTCATATGAACCATTTGATCAGGTTTGGACCACAACTCCTCAAGAAATTTGATCAGATCATCAAAAGGGCAAAATGGTCATTTTTAGGGTTTTAACTGTAGAACGGAAATTTCTGATTTTTCACCTTGCCAATGGAAAATTGGGTTCAAGAATGGTTTCAAGGACTCAATAGCATCATCTTGACCTAATCACAAGGTTCAAAAGATCTCAAATGCATTAGATTGACAGATGAATTTTCCAGTCAACTGATCAAAAATCAACTGTACACTAAAAAGTCAAACTTTGACTTTTTGGTCAAAATCAAGTGCCAAGGGTCATTTTTTATCAAGATGTGTCAAAACATGAAACTTTTTCACCAAGAAACCTAATTTTGAAAATTAGGGTTTAAGTTTGAAAAATTTTCATAACTTAGAAATTTTCTAGGTTATGAAAATTTCTTATTTCTTCCCAACTTTTCCCAACTTTTTCACCATGATGAAATTGGATTCATAGAAAACTTCCAACATGAAAGTTGTATTCCTCCACAAAATCTACAACTTTGATTCACAAAGTTTTCCAAAAAGATGCTTTGATCTCAAGTTATGATTTTGTGAATAAGGGTCCATGAAACTTTTAACTTAGTGAAATTTTGCCCTAGTTTAGGCAGGATTTTGACCTATCTTCATGGAAATTTTTCACCTAGTTCCAATTGGAATCTCAAAATAAATTTCAAAGATGGATTGTAGATCATTTTACAAGATTTCCAAAATGTCCAAGATTCTCCAAGATCATTTATGGTTAGGGAGAATCGAAGGAATGAAAATGGCCATTTCTCACTTTTGTCCATGGCATTTTTCACTTTGATACAAGTTGCAAATCAGTTTGGATCATGCTTGTACTTGGTTTAAAGGTTCTAATCCTTTCTACACTCATAAATTGAATGCAAATACATTGGACAATGGCATTGTTCTGAGCTTTAGAGCATTGTACATTGATTTATTCCAAAAATGGCAAAAAGTTTACAATGCTACTTTGATAAAGCATACTTTATGCAATTTTGTTTATCTTGAGCCAAGGACCAAACCTTTTGCTGCAAACAACATCCACAAACTTCAGGAAAAGTATACCAACTCTCCTCATGCCTTGAGCAAGCATGTACAAGCTTTGGCTTTGTCAACTCAACTTTTGCTTCAAAAGCAAGTAAGCTTGCAAAAAGTCCATAACTTGTGCATCCGATAAAACCAAGTCTAAGCCTCATTTCAAACAACCTCAGCATGTTATACCAAGCCAGAAACACGAGTTGCCAACTTCCCAAACCCTCCAAAACACAAAAATCACAAGTTCTTGCCCAAACAGGGCATCATCTGTAGAATCACTTCCAAAACAAATTTCACTCGTGCGTTTTGCCTTGAACCACTTCAAACACATTCTATACCTCACACCTAAACTGTCCAGACCCCTGTCCAGCAACTGTAACCTCATTTTCACACTTCACCATTTTCATTTTGAAGCTTTGCAGGTTAACTTCTACAGGGACATTCAGGCAAGTTCAAGGCAAGCTAAGCATTGGGAAAGGTTGAGGAAACATCAAGCAAGCTCAAAAGACCTTCAGCAATTGTAACCTCATTTTCACACAGAAAATAATCCAGTGATATTGAGCTCCTTAGAACCCGGTTACTATTTCTAGGACAAGTTGAGCCAACTAAACTTCAAGAGGGTACTTACCTATGAAACCCCATGCAAGCCTGAAACTAGGAACTTGTGTGATTTGCTTGTACATATACTTGTGCATAACATAATGGACATCATGAAGCATCATATGCATCCATTAACCATTTCAAGGATTTGGACTTTTCATCTTTGTTCCTGTTTTGTAGGTAATGGAATCACTTCGCAGGAAAACTATCCAAGTCAACCTTGTAAGAATTCCTCCTCATCTCAAGGATCTAGCTTCAAGGATTCCTGATAATTCTCCATTCACTGAGAGGCATGGTCGTCTTCTCAACTTAGTCACTGCCAACACTGAGGAAGATATGCTGAAGGTTCTCTTCCAGTTCTTTTACCCCCTACACCACTGCTTCACATTTCCTGATTACCAACTTGTGCCTACTTTGGAGGAATTTTCTCAACTCTTGAGGATTCCTATTCTCCATCAACTACCTTTCAACGGTACGGAAAGAGATCCAAAGCCTGAAGATGTTGCTCAAGCCCTACACTTGCAACCATCAGATGTCACAAGTCATTGGGAAACCAGAAGTGGTGTCAAAGGTTTCTTGTCAAATTTTTTGTTTGAGAAGGCCCAAGAATGCTGGAATTCTCTAGACCTGCAAGCTTTTGAGGAGATTGTAGCTCTTCTCATGTATGGGATGGTCTTGTTCCCTAACCCTGACCAACTCATAGATGTCAGTGCTGTCAAAATCTTCATGGCTCGCAACCCGGTGCCTACATTGCTTAGGGATATCCTCCACTGTTTTCACACTCGAACAATGAGGAAAAGAGGTGTTCTCATGTGTTGCACTCCTCTACTGGCAAGATGGTTTATTTTTCATCTTCCCCAATCAGTCTTGAAAAATGAGCAAGGTCTGAGGTGGTCACAACGATTGATGACTCTTACATATTCAAATGTTCATTGGTGCTCTCGATCCAGAGAAAATGTTATCATCATTGATCATTATGGGGAATTCCCTAATGTCCCTGTACTTGGCATTAGAGGAGGAATTACCTACAACCCTTGCTTGGCTCTGAGACAGTTTGGGTATGCCCGAAGGGATGGCCTACATGATATGTTGATTCAAGGTTTGGTTTTCGACTCCAACAACGATAATCAAGGACTTCGACAAAGGTTCATCCGAGCTTGGAGAATGCCCACCAAAGTGGACAGTAATACTCTGGGACACAAGAATTCCATCCCTCTTGAGCCTTACCTCAAGTGGGTACGAACCCGTTCCCAAAGTCTTATGATGCCTTACCCCTACATGCTTCCTGTGATTATAGAGCTTGTTATGGAAGGAGAGGTTCCATATACCCTCCTACATCCTGACATGCCAACATCACTTGAATATTTACAAAGGAGTTGGATACAGCTCAAGGGAGAATGCGATATTTTCGAAGCCCAATTCTACGTAAGCAAGAAGAATGTTTTGGAACTTACTCGTCAACTTCACAAAGAGCAGACTCTCAACACCTACATCGCACCAAAGAGGATGCGCAACGTATTTTTACCTTAGAATTTTGTATTATTTTGTCCATGGGGCATTGATGTACTAACAAATTCTCTTATTAATATGACGTATGTTTCTTTTTTGTTTAAAACAAATCTGAATTTCTGAATCCTTGAATGCATTACATGAATACATATCATTCATCATATGCATAAACAGGTCTTCACATCAGGTCTTCTTATATTCCTACTATTTATTTCAATAGAGATGGCTCTAGAGAAGACTATCAAAGACATCCAAGCTCAAAACGCCCAACTTCAAGAGATGTTCTTGAACCTAACCAAGGGGCAGGAAGAGGTGAACTCTCTCCTCACTAGGGGCATGATCATGGGGAATCCTG